AAGGGCCCCCAGCGCCCCCCAGAACCCCCTTCTAAGGGCCCCCAGCGCCCCCCAGAACCCCATTCTAAGGGCCCAATAATAATTTTTTATTTATATGTTTGTATAATGTGTTTATATTTATATGTTGCTGTCTGAATGACCTAATGACAGCCTGTGGATCAAAACAGTAAGTCGTCTGATCAATGTCTAGGTTGCCTTAAGGAATTACTAGTTACCATGGCAACATCTGTATATGATCGTCTTTTCAGAACATAGCTTATTAACCCCTTAAGGACACATGACGTGTGACATGTCATGATTCCCTTTTATTCCAGAAGTTTGGTCCTTAAGGGGTTAAATATGTCACATTCACTCTCCTTTAAATTTGCTTAGTCAATCGCTTTGCAATTTGTCAATCAAGTGGACATTCTTAATCCAGTAATAATGGATATTTAAAGGGTCAGTCTGAGCATCAGAACCTCACCAAATCCATTCTAACGTCATTAAGTCATGTATGCCTAGCCACACCACTTCTGCCTATACCTACAAAGCCTCCCTACACACTTTCTGAAAAGAACTGTTTGTTTTGGAACCTTTCTTAGCATAGTGTGACTATTGACTTTCGAAGTCCTGTTCTGTTGAGGAAATATTCACTACAGTATGCTGTAGTGGTTATGGTGCCAGGAGAGCCCTGCCACCCCCCTCCTCCATTGACTGCTTATCTTGGGTATGCCACTCCCTGTCTCTACTACTAAACAACAAAGAGCTCTACGAAAGAGCTTCTTTTATTTCTCCTGAGCAGGGCCAGTGTCCCTTAAACAAATTTCAAGAAAGGAAAATGATTAGTATGCCTTAATAGGTTTGTTGCTAAAGGGAACTTGTTGTTAATGCAACAAAGAGTTACAGCTGCTTTAAAAGTAATGTTGAATTCTATTCTTTTTCTAATTACAGGTTCAAAACTTGCTTCAACAAATGCAGGACAAGTTCCAGACTATGTCCGATCAGATTATTGGGAGAAATATCCTTTTACAAGACTTTGCCAATATGTTCAGGAGAAACTATTGACTTGTATACAAGTTGCAGAACTTGTGTAGTTTTACATATTGCTGCTACTCCGTCACACAATGTTGTTTTATTTTATTTATTTTTTTACACACTGTGGCTAATAGTTTAGGGAGAACATTCATGATAAAAGTTACATTTTACATATTGTACGACTCACAGCCCTTTTAGGAACACAAAACTATTCCTAACACTATAGTGTTTTTCTGCCCATAGCTCAGTGCCTCTCGTTCTTTCATGATTGAAAGGTTTAAAAAAAACTTTAAACATTTAGTTCTTCCTTTGCCGAGCTCCCTCGGCACTTGCTCATCCTCTGACATCCTGGCGATGGGGGCACCGAGCAAGCATTAGGCTTGCTCCATAGGAAAGCATTTAATCAAGTCGATGTTTGATAGACATTAGAGGTGGAGTTAATCCAACAATGTAATTGTTGCAATTTCTCAGAAGCAGCGATGTTATACATTGCAGGGTCATGGGGACGGGAACAATGCACCCACAGCCCTTCAATGAGATGAAGTAATCTGAGTGCTTATATTATAACATAGATATTTCTTGTCTTTGTTGTAAATTGTCCTCCCTCCAGTGTGAACTCTGCTGTGTTCCCTGGGTTACACTGCAATGCCCAGATCCCTTTAGTGTAAAATATATTGTGGTTTGGTTAATTACCCCCTCCAGTGTGAGCTGCTGGGTTATCTGAGTATTCTACAGACAGCAGCCTGTCTTCCTAATAGGGTTATTATTGTGAGGAATTCTCAGTGAATTTCAAATTCAAGGGGAAAGTAGCCAAACTGGAAAGATTCTCCAAGTCAACTTTGCTTTCAGCTTGGCTACTTTGTCCTTAAATTTTAAATTCTTTGACTTCCCCCACAATTCTTACTTTAGTGAATAGACTGCTTATAAAAGGACACTGATACACTCTCACTGACAATATGGAGGGGGAATAAAAATCTCAATATCTTTTATTGGACACTACAGCTTTATGACGTAACAGATATAAATATATACAGCATTTAACATTTATACATCTTGGAAAAATAATAAACTGTTTTCAGAGCTGTCTTGCCTGTACTTGCTGGTAGGATGTGATAGGACAGTTACAGTAATACTAACTGTATTTATTTTGCAAAAGTTCTTTAACTAAATCCACTTGATGATATGAGTACCCGAATCGATGACCTAGAAAAGAACATTGCTGATCTGATGACACAGGCCGGTGTAGAGGAGGAAGAAGGGGCAAACAAGGTATTTAGCTTTTAAAGACTAACTCAAGCAATCATCTGTGTTTCCAGTGTGACTCTGGTACAAGTTGTGACTTTATTTTTCTTTCCCAGTCACATCTCTATAGAACCCCGCAGGCAAATGAGATACAATGATCTACTTTCATGTGTTGTCCGTAGAGGAAGAGACATTTTATAAATAATGAATAGACACTCACGACCCCTAAAGCAGTTTAGCTTGTGGATGTGCTTTGTGTGAGAAGAATGTGTCCTCTTTTATTGGGGGTATCTGTGCCAAACAGTTATTTATTGACCTTCCTGATATACAACGTGTTTATTGCTGAGAGAAGTGGTGGCACTTGCTATGCTTTTACTTGAGCTGATCTGGGGAACCAGCAAATGAACAGTAATACTATGTAATGTGTGTTTTGTTTGCTTTACATAAAATTACGATAGACCTGAGGGTTAAATATTGTTTGTCTGTTGTCAGCACACATAGCATGCTGGACACACACCCAATATGCACAGAATTAACATTAAACTGCCTGGAATGCTTGTTAGTCTGCAAATGATGCATCAGAAGATGGTTACACCGCAGACAGCAAAGGGCTTTAAACCTGTAAGTGCAGAGTTTCAAACTGAAAGGCTGCACATACAGACATGAAACACCATCACCACTTGATGATGATCCTATTGCTTGGAGTAATCCTTTTAACCAGTTGTGTTCCAGGTGGGTGCAGTGTATTGTTCGTTTTAGTTCACTAAACCTCTGATTTAATTGCTATAAATAGTTTGCTGATTGCCTTTTGTTTTGTTGTCCTTTGTAGCAGGTTGCTAAACAATAAGAGGCCGAATACACCGATTTTATACCATCTTCAAAGGAAGAGGATCCTTTCCTTCCCAACAGAGATGACTGCAAAGCCCTTTTGTATTAACCGTTGTGATAGAGGTTTCATTTCCTATTGTATATTTAGATTGTTTTGTATTTTGATTATTTGTGACTTCATATTTGTTTTTTACATGTGCAGTAAAACTCATGGATAAAAAAAAGAACGTAACTATCATATTTAAAAATATCCGATGTGGCTTGTTTGATTTATTTTAATGTGTGCCGTGACCTAGTCCTGTGTGCTTTCATTCACTGGAAAACACCGGTAATTGTTTTTTTTTTTTAATCCATTTTACTGTTTATTAATGACTATCTAGTTATGGAAGCCATTGCTGTTTAAAAGCCACCAATTTTATTTAAATAATCTGTTCAGTTTCCATGATGTAGCAGGTTTCTCCTCCATCACTTCCTGTGTTAGATTAATGGCTGCCTTTCTTTGACCTGCTATTATCTGTGCACATTGGTTCGCTGTCTCATCGCATTCTTTAAAATACGTGTGATGTTATCTGGAACTATATATGGAAAGTTACTTTAGAAACGAGTCTGAAAGAACATTTGCATAGAATTTCCACCTGGCTGGCTCCCACCCTTAACTTAGTTGGCTCTATGGGTAGTAGAAAGGATCGACACATCCCACGTGCATCAGCCACTCGGGGACAGTAAGAGCACAGATCCCAAACCTTCTATAGACTTCCTGCTCACCTGGGGTTTGTCATTCCCTTTGTAATCCTAACCCCTGAAACATTGATAATCCATTACCATTATTTTATTTTTGCATCAAACTCACCTAACTTCTTTTCTCACTTTTCTGAAAATTCTT